ATTGAGGCTTCATATATATATAGTCAATCTGACATGGACCACAACAAAAATCAAATTATTCCCCTAGAGACCTTTACTTGGAAGTCAGAGGGAAATCTTACCTGGTATTATGTACAGACCATTAACCAAAATAAGCACACTGGACACACACTATCTGGTGTACTGTGAGAGAAGAGTCTTCCTACTGTACACACTGTGCAGACCCATTTGGCTTGTAATGAGAGGACACAGTGTCTGCTGCTGCAATCAGGCAACAACTATGGCCATTACATCAGATTAACCAACTCTGTACACATTGTGCTGGAGATCAGAGGTGTTGATTGGATGTGCCCAGCCTGGTCAGTCTGCACTGCAGATGGGACCACAGTATACCGTCCAGTACCCACACAGTCAACTCCACAAGAAGGTCATTTCAAGATAAAAGTGTCCTGTCACATGTAGTGTATTAACTACTTATTACAATGTCATTACTAATGTGCCTAACTATTTTCCAGACGGAATGCTTGTCAAGCTGTTTTTCTCTCCAAGTCCATGAAGTCAACATCATGGCTATTTTATAAGTGGATTGCTGACCCTACACCCTACATTGAATTATGTCCGAGGCTACAAATACGGAGCTTTCGCCCCTGGCCCGCCCCTCTGGAAATGTTTTTCTCAAAGCTAAGGAGCCGAATCACATTTTGCGCATGTGTTACTTTACACACACATTCAAGTCTCTTTTTACTCTTTCCCAGAGAGGAAGAGGCGAGAGGTTTTACTCCGCCCAAAATCTGTCCACACCCTGAGAACTCTACTTCCCAATGTTTACACATTAAAATCACTACTGACTGCCTGTGTCTTGCTTGTCGATATGCTGTGTACGTCTAGCTTGGCCTAAATAGCTGCGTGTAACGTCGCGCTTTATGTTTGCTTTTTATTACTGTTACAACAGACAAAGAAGTAAAGTTTGTTTCGAACAAGCGGCAGCGGAGTCACGGGGTGAGTGAGCACTGAACAAGCGGCAGCGGAGTCACGGGGTGAGTGAGCACTGAACAAGCTGCAGCGGAGTCACGGGGTGAGTGAGCACTGAACAAGCTGCAGCGGAGTCACGGGGTGAGTGAGCACTGAACAAGCTGCAGCGGAGTCACGGGGTGAGTGAGCACTGAACAAGCTGCAGCGGAGTCACGGGGTGAGTGAGCACTGAACAAGCTGCAGCGGAGTCACGGGGTGAGTGAGCACTGAACAAGCTGCAGTGGAGTCAGGGGTGAGTGAGCACTGAACAAGCGCAGCGAGTCACGGGGTGAGTGAGCACTGAACAAGCTGCAGCGGAGTCACGGGGTGAGTGAGCACTGAACAAGCTGTAGCGGAGTCACGGGGTGAGTGAGCACTGAACAAGCTGCAGCGGAGTCACGGGGTGAGTGAGCACTGAACAAGCTGCAGTGGAGTCACGGGGTGAGTGAGCACTGAGCAGCAGCTGGGAAGCGCGCAGCAGATCTTGAACACGCGCAGACATCTTTAGTCCAAAACTTCTGGGTTCCAGAAAATCCGCAACCGCAGCCACTCTGTTGAAGTTTAATTATCACTGTAACTCCTAATAATAAAACAGAAATAATAATAATACAAATCACACTTAATGTAACCTCACACCCTGAACTGCTAATGATCCCTGATTGATTAGTTCCCCAATGTCCATTATTAGTCTTCACCATGTAGGCTGATAATCAATCACTTGTTCACAACTTAACTGTATCCAAAAGGCCTGAGGGGAAATCAATAGTGCTTTTAGGTGACAGTAATACCCTAACTAATCAATACTTGGTCAGTACATTCCCATACACAGTGTGTCTATGTGACAAAAAAGTACATTTTCTTCCACTCAGGAGTTTATTGAACTCCACACGAGTACAAGCTGATAGTTTAGAATGTTCACCATGAAACACACAAGCATTGTCTTACGTCAGGTGGTGTCACTCCTACGCAACCCTCTTCCCCTAACCAGATGATTAGTCACACTATCTGACTTGAGACAATGACATACAAGAACACACAAAGTACATCCAGATTCAAGCATTCAGACTTCGTGAGTGCAGTCGGTTCAAATAGACAATCTGAATGTGTCTCCCATCAAATATGACTGTTGCCTTAGCAACAATGCCCCCATTCCTCTGTTTCTTAGAATTGAACAGTCTCAGTTATGTACTGCAGTCAAAGGCCTGATTGTGCCTCATCTTCCACAATTACCCCACCGGTCATTGTGATGGGTTACTTAGAAATGGTGTCTCAAATTTGCAGTAGTCAAATGGCAAACTCCATTCAAGCTTAAAAATAAATATTATAAACCTTCAACACAACCTTCCACAAAAAGTGTAAAACACATTCCCTGGATATATCATTGAGAAAATGTTTTCCACATAAGAGCGCTTCCAAAGTAAGTAAAGTAAATTTCCGCACAAACAAACCCGCAAACCAAATACACCCAAATTATATTTGGGCTTAGCTGTATCAAGCTCATCCGTTGTATTGCCATTATAAATAGTCAAACAGTAAGACTAATTGTGGTTCTAACAGTATTGTAACATGTCTGTTGACTAAAGCATGTGTGAAGTTATAACAGTCTCACTCTCTCAATCTGATATTAGAAACAGTGAAGTATATTACCTGTATATTCTTAACAGGTTTTGGTATACATAAACAATGCCTTTATATTGATTACCTAGTTTTTACATAATTGTAATATATTGGTTGTCAGTGTCACACACCCTGAGAATACCGACCTTAGAGGAGGAGGAGTAGGAGCAACAACAGCAGCTACCTTAACCTCCACCCTCCAGTGTGCAGAACCCCTGAGTTCACCCAACCCAAGCCCTCACCCTGGGGCTCTGGGCTGCAGACAAACCACTTCCTGTCATAGTTCTCCTGGCAGATGCTGATGCGCTGGCTGAAGTACCCTGGGTCTGAGATGGCTCTGAACGGTTGTTCTGGACCAGACAGAGGACATACAGCTCTGAGGTGGAGGTTATGCGGGTCTCTGAGGCGTCTCAGTCCAGGAACACCTTTAGAACCAGACATGGACCTAGAACAGAAACACCATGTGAGGATATTTAGAACATACATACTGTATCTGCAATGGTACAAATCCACATCCATATGAGTATGCACAAACCATCCAAAAGCACATGAACCGAGGAAAAACTGTACCTTTGGATGGACGACGGTGTCCTCATCGTTCTGCCGGATGTTGTCATCAATGAATATGTGCTAGACTTCCTGGTTGAAGAGGTCCAGCCACAGAAGCTTCCCTACCAGGATGGAGTAGGTGTACCTGGCCCACCTACAGAGAGAGAGACCAGTGCCCTGACTACATCACGAACACTGAAACCTTCATGGAGGTCAATACAGAGCACAACTTCTCCATTACAATTACTGTAATACTTGGACTAAATGATCTATTAAACAATGGATTTATGAGCTTGGCAGCAAACTAGGGCACCTCCATTTGTGTGATAAGATTTCAAGCCTTTTGGGACGGGTCCACCTACCAGTCAAAGTGGTCCTGCACAGAGCTGAGGTACTGGTCAGGGCTTGCTCCTCGTCACGGGTCGACAGGCGCTCCTCCGCCCTGGTCAGAACCACCCCCTTCTTACTGCAGCGGATCTGGCCTGGTCAGAACCACCCCCTTCTTACTGCAGTGGATCTGGCCTGGTCAGAACCACCCCCTTCTTACTGCAGTGGATCTGGCCTGGTCAGAACCACCCCCTTCTTACTGCAGCGGATCTGGCCTGGTCAGAACCACCCCCTTCTTACTGCAGTGGATCTGGCCTGGTCAGAACCACTCCCTTCTTACTGCAGTGGATCTGGCCTGGTCAGAACCACTCCCTTCTTACTGCAGCAGATCTGGCCTGGCGTCTCAATCACACTCAGCTGGGAGGGAGGAGAAAGGAGTAGCACTATATAATACCACCTCGTAATAAAGCATTTATAATGGATTAGTAAATAGTTAGATTAATCATTTAGTAATCATTACTCCCGCATTTGTAAATGTTAGTAAGCTAGTTATTCACACTTATATATATATATATATATATATATATATATATATATATGTTCTTATGATCTTATGAATCTATTACAAAGAACACAGCCTACTTAAACATCTCTCATACCCTACCAGCAGCAGTGCATTAGAGATGAAAGGGTTAACAGTCTATCAGGTATCAATCGGAAATCATGAAAATTGTCTGGACTTTAGTATCCTTTTAGAATGAGAATAAACAATGAAGCTTACAGGTCGTCCTGCAAGTTCTGCTGAATCAAATTATCTTCTTTCACCCTCCCTGCCAATATTCCTACACAAATAGGCCTTGACAGGAGACAGTTTGAATAAGTCATCATGTGGATGTTTTTATACTGCAGCTAACTGTGTAAGGCAGCCTCAGCCCCCCCCCCCTGCAGAAATCGATGTGTTCTGCTCCAGTAAACTAACTGGTACAGGAACACACTGAGGAGGATGACAAGGGCCTGCAGCCACTCTATACCCAGGGGAGTAGCACCACTCACCTCACCAGTCACCCCCAACCCATAATACGTCTCACCGTGAATGACCTTCTGTGAGTTTGTTTTAAAAGGCACTGTTCCTGGAACAAGTTTTCAGATTTGGACCCCTGTATCCCACTGCCACAACCTCACAAACACAAGCCCCCCCCCCCCATAAATAACAAGCTGTAACATGGTAGCAGCCTACAATGAGTAATGATTGCAATTACTGGGCTATTGATAGAGTCGCTAACATAACAGCAGTGATTATGATAAGAGCAATGTGCACATTTAATATGGCAGTGAGTAAGAGCTTGGTAAAATACCAGGACAACAGAGTCATTATAGCTATTGTCTTAATGACATCAAATCCAGCATCACACCACCTAAAGCCCTCATCATACCTTAAGTGCTGGGAGGTCGGGGAACAGTGGGTGGGAGCCCTGAGTGAGTGCACGGGACACGGCAGACAGCACCCGAGGAAGGTCTCAGCCAAAGGTATGGCACAGGATGGCAAAGTCCCTCCCCTCTGCCACCAGATACTTCAGTAGCTGGAAGAAGGAGGGCAGGCTCCAGTGGTCCAGCACGCCCCAGAACCGCCGACCTGGTGAAGCCTGCCACCCAGCCAAACTGGAAGTGATAGCTGACAGCGCACTCTCATGGTGGAAGTAGAGAAGGTGAGTCACTCATCCACTCCCATTTACCTACAGACAACAGAAAGAGACAGGTGTTTGGTAATTACACTCAGCAATGGCACCATCGTGGCAGGTTGGCACACATTGGCAATGATTCCACTTATTGAATTGTCATGTCATTCACAGAAAAAAGTTATAGAGGTGTGGGGCATCTGCTCCTTGAATAATATTTTAGATCATTCTCATTCATTATAGCTAGGAGAATTGACTGTACTACCCTCAAATAAAACTGGCTACATGCAGGAAGTGGCTATTTAGGTGTAGTAGACTAGGTGGTATACAGCTACAACCGGAAGTGACTTTTTCGTACCAGGTTAGAATTTACGCAGCAGGTTAGGAGAATTCATGTAGTAGGTTTGGGTAATTATGATAAGGCTATGACAAAGGTTAGGGCTAGCTAATATGCTCTCCTAACCTGCTACGAAAAGTCAATTCCGGTTGTAGCTGTACTCCATCTAGTCCCAACCGCTATTTAGGCTAACTGAGGTCAATGAATGCAAACAGTTTTTTTTTTTTTTACCTTCTTTACATTCCTTGACTGCGGTCCCCTGGCCTACCTGAGGCTCGTCACCTATATTGCAACCCGGCTGGATTACCTTGTTTACGCATTTGTCCCCATGCCACAATTTAAATACAATAATCCAAGGCTGCAATAGTTCCTTGAATTGTCACGGCGTCAGACACCAATATGGGGTTATTGAGATCAACATGAAGGACAACCCTTGAGGGACCAACACTGTGAGGTCGTCTTCAGTGGTATAACTGTTATCATATTCATTGACATTTCCTTTGCTTGGCGTGTGGAGTGGACTGCTCATCCGCCGGGTCATGCCTATTACGACCGCCCCCGTTGTTGAGAGAAGTGGGATGATCAACGGTCTTGTCGCAGTCTGACATGATGAGCTCCAGTCCCGAATGATCGGTGGTCAACACCTGATTTTCCTTGACTAAATAACTAGCCAAGTTGTCAGTAAATTGCCAGAGGGTTTAGCTAGCTAGCCAAGTTACTGAAACCAGAGATCCTCGAAACTCTCTTGCCCAATCGTAGATTTGTAGCTACATGTCTATAAAGACCGCTATTACACTTGTCAAAACAGGTCATCTTTAAGAGCGCTAAGTTTGTACAACTATTCACATACAAATACAACCACACTACCGGCTTTTCTTGTTGACAGAAACAGTGTTTGTTTTTACTTCCTCATTCTGAAACCGTCGTTTCTTCTTCTCTCACCGTAACGTGTGGCGTCTGAAAGTAAATACAGTAACAAGCGCCATCTACAGAAACAGTGCAGATTGGAGGACCAACAATTTAACACAGAAAATAGTACAAACGGAGCGTAAAAAAAGTTCCCAAAACTCATCTCTGCCAGGCAACTTTATTCAAGTTCCTACTGAATCAGAGTGTGTATTCAAATATCCTGTTAGCGCTTCTCAAAAAGGGTTTCATTTATATTAACAATGTATATCTTATACACAGCCGCATTCTCATTAACCCTCACTTTACATTTGCGGTCCAACACAAATTAAGGGAGGGGTGTACAAGAGTCTACGTAAACAGAAATAAAGATATGTAGCAGAAGTGGTAAAAGCATTCTATTCTACGGCTACTGTGTATCAACATGCACATTTCAGTGTGTATCAAGTTGGCATCTTCCCAAAAATTGCATCCACAGGATTTGATAAATTACCAAGTAAAAATGTTTTAAAATCTAAAGCAAAGCAAATAAATCCAAACATTTCTGCACACTACAATGTCAACCCAGTTTACAGAAACCAACAAAGACCACAACATACAGACTAAACCTTGATGAGAAGTAGAAAACACCCCCCCCCCCCCCCACCTCACACAAATAAATGCTTCCACACCCAGACAGACAGACACACACACCACTCCCATCACCATTTCCTTCAATCCCAACAGGCTGGGGGGGGGGGGGGGGGGGGTTTGATGTTAGCAACCTTCCTTTGTGACCTCTGAACCAGACAACCATTGGCTGCAACCTGGAGGCTCTGGGGAAACAGGAGTGTGGAGGCTTTTGTTGTATGTGCAAACACGTGTGATAAGTATGTGTGAGGAAATCTGTTGCATGAATATTACTACATATACAGCATGAGCTGGTATGTCCACCACATCTGTGGTTACATGTGCTGGTCCTTTCGCCCACAAAAGCACTACTGCCATTTTTAGCATTGCACCACTGAGGGGACGCTTTTCAAGACGCCCAGTTTATTAGTAAGCACTGAAGTGTTGTTTACTGAGGAGTATATTTCCCAATGTTGCCGCTGGCAACGATCCACAGCTGGAAACTTATGCCAGGGCGGTGGAACCTCAGCCTCAGTCATGCCTTAGTCCACCTCCTCCATGTTGCTGTAGGACAGAGCAGCACATTCTCCAGAGTGTCCAAACAGCTCAGAGGTCACCTCTGGGGTCAGCGGAGGGGGTCCTTCAGGGTCCAGGTTGGTCCCAAAGAGTGCCTGGCTAGAGGCCTGTAAAATAAACCAGTGTTACAAATCATGCTTTTCTCTGGATCAGCTCACTTTCAGGAAGACCAGGCCCGTCTTATCTGTAAACAATCCAAAACCAAAAGCACTGGACTGACCCATTCCTTGCAGACACAAAACAAAACTCAGTTCCAATTGGCTGGACAATTTCCATGTTTGAAATAACATCCAAAAGATTCCAGAGAGAAACTGATTGAAAAATAATATTCATTAAGACAGCATAAAGGTTGACATTTTATTTTGAAAAGCAGTACAAGTGTTGGTTTATTGGGGCAGCATTGAGATAGAAGGACCTGTACGCTTTATTGCTGGGAAATGTCCCACTTTCTTTTAAAATAAAATATTCCATTGACAGAGCGATTTTAAGATTACGATTTTACAATTAAGATTACATTTACATTTAAAATCGTACAATTTCTATACAGCGTATACAAGCAATCTTGAAAATATTTATGCTATAAAATATACACTTCCTTACATCAATAGCTTTCACTTTACACCCACAACCATAGGGAATCTTTGCCATCTGTAGGTAGCCTAGATCATTCACATATCCTGGGTCGACAGTTCACTGAGACAGAGAGAAAATGCATTTTAAATAAGATGAAATACGTACTGCATACCATCACGCTCGGATAAACCACTGTGAGACATACTGGGCATTTAAAGCTGATAGTGAATATACCTGGCCTCTAAACCCACTCACAAGGGGGAGCGTTATGACAGAACGCACTGTGATATCCCTGAGACTTGAACATATTACTACAACACTATTACAGAGGTTAGTCCATATACCAGCAACACAGATAATCATTAAATGTAGCAAATTTCATTGATATTTGGACGGCATCTCCCTTCTAATGACCTGACGTCACTTCTAAACTCAGCTTCATACTGTACATCAGCGCACGTATTATTTTGCTCAAACAGTCGTAAAGCTCTGACATTGAATTTATTTGCAAATTATGGTGGAAAATAAGTATTTGGTCAATAACAAAAGTTTCTCAATACTTTGTTATATACCCTTTGTTGGCAATGACACAGGTCAAACGTTTTCTGTAAGTCTTCACAAGGTTTTCACACACTGTTGCTGGTATTTTGGCCCATTCCTCCATGCAGATCTCCTCTAGAGCAGTGATGTTTTGGGGCTGTCGCTGGGCAACACAGAATTTCAACTCCCTCCAAAGATTTTCTATGGGGTTGAGATCTGGAGACTGGCTAGGCCACTCCAGGACCTTGAAATGCTTCTTACGAAGCCACTCCTTCGTTGCCCGGGCGGTGTGTTTGGGATCATTGTCATGCTGAAAGACCCAGCCACGTTTCATCTTCAATGCCCTTGCTGATGGAAGGAGGTTTTCACTCAAAATCTCACGATACATGGCCCCATTCATTCTTTCCTTTACACGGATCAGTCGTCCTGGTCCCTTTGCAGAAAAACAGCCCCAAAGCATGATGTTTCCACCCCCATGCTTCACAGTAGGTATGGTGTTCTTTGGATGCAACTCAGCATTCTTTGTCCTCCAAACATGACGAGATGAGTTTATACCAAAAAGTTATATTTTGGTGTCATCTGACCATATGACATTCTCCCAATCCTCTTCTGGATCATCCAAATGCACTCTAGCAAACTTCAGACGGGGCTAGACATGTACTGGCTTAAGCAGGGGGACACGTCTGGCAATGCAGGATTTGAGTCCCTGGCGGCGTAGTGTGTTACTGATGGTAGGCTTTGTTACTTTGTTCCCAGCTCTCTGCAGGTCATTCACTAGGTCCCCCCGTGTGGTTCTGGGATTTTTGCTCACCATTCTTGTGATCATTTTGAACCCACGGGGTGAGATCTTGCGTGGAGCCCCAGATCGAGGGAGATTATCAGTGGTCTTGTATGTCTTCCATTTCCTAATAATTGCTCCCACAGTTGATTTCTTCAAACCAAGCTGCTTACCTATTGCAGATTCAGTCTTCCCAGCCTGGTGCAGGTCTACAATTTTGTTTCTGGTGTCCTTTGACAGCTCTTTGGTCTTGGCCATAGTGGAGTTTGGAGTGTGACTGTTTGAGGTTGTGGACAGGTGTCTTTTATACTGATAACAAGTTCAAACAGGTGCCATTAATACAGGTAACGAGTGGAGGACAGAGGAGCCTCTTAAAGAAGAAGTTACAGGTCTGTGAGAGCCAGAAATCTTGCTTGTTTGTAGGTGACCAAATACTTATTTTCCACCATAATTTGCAAATAAATTCATAAAAAATCCTACAATGTGATTTTCTGGATATTTTTTTCTCAATTTGTCTGTCATAGTTGACGTGTACCTATGATGAAAATTACAGGCCTCTCTCATCTTTTTAAGTGGGAGAACTTGCACAATTGGTGGCTGACTAAATACTTTTTTTCCCCACTGTAGCTAGCTACTTCACAAAAAAAAACTTAATGCAAAGCAGCACATTAAAGGTTAAACAATTAAAAATGGCTTTCATTTAGTATGACAGGGATAAGGAAAACGTACGGACAGCAGGGTTGGGCTCTATTTGCACATAATCTCTTGCACATCTAGCATTCCAGTGTTAATACTATTGTAATTATTTTGCACTATAGCCTATTTATTGCCTTACCTCCATAACTTGCTAAATTTGCACACACTGTATATATATTTTCTGTTGTATTTTTGACTTTATGTTTTTTACCCCATATGTAACTCTGTGTTGTTGTTTTTAATCGCACTGCTTTGCTTTATCTTGGCCAGGTCGCAGTTGTAAATGAGAACTTGTTCTCAACTGGCTTACCTGGTTAAATAAAGGTTAAATAAATAAAGAAATTTAAAAAATTCCAATTGAAGGCAGTCAATTCAGGAAGTAAACAAAAATTGCAATCCAATCATCTAAAAAAGGGCATTTATTTTCAATGACTTCTCAATAAACTGAAAAGTAAAAGCTATTTATTTCAAAAGTTCACACATTTCTGAATTTTAAATTCAAATCATTTCCTGAATTAACGGCCTTCAATTAGAATTGAGCCCAACCCTGGTGGACAGAAAGCAATAAAACTGCTGAATTAAGAGCTTACCATTGACAACATAAAATCAAAAATAAAATCAGCAACGTGACAAACAAGCAAAAGGCACATAATAGCTTACAGTAAGTCTAAACACTCTGTATTCATTGAGAAGGCAAACACACATTTTAGCTGTCTTCAGGTTACAGTATAAAGTCATGACTGAACAAAGCATGCAGTAATGCCCATCATACCATCCTGGGATGGAGCTAAAGGATTACATATCTGTGAATGAGCAGTACTACAATATCTTATTCCCTCACCCACTCAACACTATTACAGTAGGACTTTAACCCTATACCCTAGTTCAAGTCCTCTCAGCAGCATCACTTCTGCAAAATATAGGCCTAGCCATTCAGAAAATTTGCATTTCATATTTTAGTACTAAAAACCTACATGTGAGAGAGACTTGGCATGGACACAAATAAGGGGAGGATAAGTTAAAGGCCTGTTGGGTTGAAGTATGCTTGAACTACAATTTAGCGTAGATTATACGGACATAAGTTATGGACTGCGGTATATAATAAGGCCAAGTCTTGCTGAGGAACGTTCCTAGTAGACGCTACTAGGCTTGATTAATGGATATGCTGTATAATTTAGTTTTACATTTTTAATGTGTTCAGCAGCATATTGATTTATAGGCCATCTAAAAAAAAAAAACTGTTTTTTATATTGGCATGGATAGGTCATTAGGCTTTTCATTTCTTAGTGTATAAGCGTACGTGTGTATGTGTGGGGTGTGATGATGGCCACTTAGCCCCAGTTGGCTCTGTAGAGTAGGTTCAGTAACAACGCTAGTAAAGCAGCCAAGGTACCCAGGACGAAATATCGGACGCAGTCGTCGTCGGAATAATTCAAGATCCTTTGGAGCAGCAGCAGCCGCCGCACCTGCCCCTCCACCCCCTCCACCCTCCTGGCTGCTCTTCTCCTCCCCAGCCCGGGACGGAACAGGCCCCGGCGGCCCTCTTCAACACCCTCCTCTTCCTCCTCCAGTTCCTGCCATATCAGAGAGGCCTGCGACGGCGGAAACCTGTGTCAGCTTCTGGGAAAGGATTGGTTGTAAAGCAACGCCACCTCACCACAGCCAGACCTCCAGCAAACCCTCCCCATCCACTGCCCTCTGTCTAATTTATTAACGGTGTCACAGGCCACTGGGTCAAGGACAAGCCAGACTCTTTCAAGGAACAGCATGAGGACACCTCACATCATTATTTTTAACAGTTAGCTAATAGATTAATTAAATCACAGATAATTTGTAACCACAGACAGACTCCCACCCTGAATATAAACTCATGAGCACAAGAAAAACGTACCATACACCCAATCATTTTCACAGGCATTCCACAAAGTTGTGCCTTGATTGTGAATACACACAGCTGTAACTTATTAATCCTGAAGCAATGAACTTTGTTTTCAGCATTTGGACAGAAAACAATGACGCTTAGAAGCCAAAACAAATCAGATGAAAGGGACTTCAGGTTAATAAGTTGAAACATGTGTGCACAGCTTTTCTCCAAGCACCTATTCAATTTAGAAACTATCATAAAACTCTTGATGAACAAACCAATGGCCTAGAGCAATGAAATTAGATCCATCGTCTTTCTCTCATTATAGCTTTAGAAGCAGAATACACATTACCCCTCTGGCAATGGCAACTGAGATCATTTCTCATTTCTCTGAAAGCACCACAAGCAAGCAACCAAATATCACTCCATGAAGAGGAATAGATGAATGAATACAGCATTACATCTCACTCGTGGTAAAAATGTCATCTCAGAACATTTAAATCTACCTCAAAAGAGGGGTTTGGGGTTGAGGGGGAGTCATGTTTGGATCCTGGTATGTCCCTAAGGATGGGGGGGGGGTCTCAGCGGTAGAGAATGGCGCCCTCACCTGGCTGGTAGTGGCTCCTGCAGCGGTGGGGGACTCGGCCCCCAGGGGCCCCAGGAAGCGAGCTGGTCGTTCCACGGGGGAGTTGCGGCGGCGGTAGAACAGCACGTACGCATAGCGCGTCACAACCTGGCTCTCCTCCACCATCGTCACCGTGCTGTCATCAAACAGACGCCAGCCTTGGGGGGGGGGGGGGGGGGGGGGGAGAGAGGAGAGGGAGGGTGTAGGAAGAGGTGGAGGTAGAGGAGGAAGGTGGAGGAAGAAGAGGGGGAGGTGGAGGAAGAGGAAGTTTGAAGGTGAGGGAGAGGAGGAAAGAGGTGGAGGAAGTGTCGGAAGGGTTGGTGGTCTTTCGCTGCGGTCGTGTCCCCCTCTCGATGGAGCTCCCTCTCCGTGGAGGCCTCTCGGCTGTGGCGTCCGCTCCGGTGGGAGGCCTTCTCGGCCCTCCCGGTGGCGGTTCGCGTGGGGCTTTTGCGCCCGCGCCGTGGTCTGCCGTCGCGGGAGGTTTGCGGCCGCCGCGCGCGCATCCGGTGGCCTCCGCGCCGGGGGCGCCCGCCGGTGCGCCCTGCGGGGGTGTGGGAGAATCGGGGTAGCGGGAGGCAGTGTTCTTTTACCAGTATGACGAATATAACATGTTAAACCAGTTTGCCATGGTCACAAAATACAGTATATCCTACTTCATTCAAACAGAGCCACTCACCGACATCACTGCGCTGGCTGTTCTGGGCACTGGGCAGGCGTGCGTAGGCGGTGTAGTGACCTCCGATCATGCCCCCGTAGTGATTAATGACCGCATAGAGGTCATAGATGGGCGGCTGCTGCATGTCGTCCTTCTGACCAATACAGAACTTACTGAGGTCCAGGTTCCTGAAAGACAAGAAAACCCCCCCAAGTCATTGAGTGTATGGTCAGTGTGAATAAGTGACTAATATGAGAAGTTGTGTTTATAATATGTAATGATATGTACCTGACGGGGAAGTCGACCATGTCGTTGATCTTGTCCCTCCAGATGAAGCTGCGGAAGGAGAAGCGTTTGAGCTGGATGATGAGGACGTTGGGCAGACGCCACAGCAGCAGCTGCTTGGAGGCCTCTCTGTGCTGCTGGCACTTTGGACAGTACCTGAGAAAGAGAAAGAGGAGCGAGCAAGAGAGAAGAGAGAGAGAGAGAGAGGCAGAGGCAGAGAGAGAGGCAGAGGCAGAGGCAGAGAGAGAGAGAGAGAGAGAGAGAGAGAGAGAGAGAGAGAGAGGCAGAGAGAGGCAGAGAGAGAGAGAGAGGCAGAGAGAAAGAGAGAGGCAGAGAGAGAGAGAGAGAGGCAGAGAGAGAGAGAGAGGCAGAGAGAGAGAGAGAGAGAGAGAGAGAGAGAGAGAGAGAGAGAGAGAGGCAGAGAGAGGCAGAGAGAGAGAGAGAGGCAGAGAGAGAGAGAGAGGCAGAGAGAGAGAGAGAGAGGCAGAGAGAGAGAGAGAGGCAGAGAGAGAGAGAGAGGCAGAGAGAGAGAGAGTCAGAGAGAGGGGGTTAGGGACAGAGAGAAAGAGGGAGAGAATTTCTGTTAGGTGGTGTTTTGATGGATTACAAACCTAACTTAGTACGAGATCAGTCTGAATGTTAATTGTGTATGTGTGTTAGTGCATGGCTTTGTGGGACCGTTTGAATGTTATCTGTGCATGTGCACGTGTGTTAGTGCATGGCTTTGTGTGACTGTAGGGCTACATTTATTTGAGTATGTCCACATGTTAGCGTATGTTGAAGGCTACGTTAATATGCGTGTATGTTCGTACCATGCCTCCTCTGGTGCCAGCACCTCAGGCTTGGTGAAGAGGTTGAGGCACTGCTCCAGGGTGAAGTGTCCAGCCCTGGCCGTCTCGCTGACCGACCCAGGGTCCTCCTCAAACTCCAGCTCCTTGGACCGGACCAGGACATACTCCTTGAGACGCTCGTTGTTCTTCCACACCAGCTCCAGGCTGGAGTCCTCAGGGAGGTCCAGAACTGCCTCTTCTGTGGGGAACACATGACAAACAACAGTAAGACGCTGAAGAACACATATGGTAAAAGGAGTTCCATGTTGAATGATGCACAGGCGGGTTTGACCTTTATCCTCCAGTGTCTGCTCCTTGCTGTTGGAGTCGAGGATGGTGATGTAGAACTGAGAGGCGTGGCTGGACGCAGACTCTGATGGTTGCTGGTAGCCTGTCACTGCAGCTAGATACACAAACAGCAGAAAATACAGCCACAAATCACAGAGTGATCCACAGAGGAAAGACTTACACAACATGACCAAAAGTATGAGGACACCTGCTCCTCGAACATCACATTCACAAATCATGGCCATTAATATGGAGTTGGTCCCCCCTTTGCTGCTATAAAAGCCTCCACTCTTCTGGGAAGGATTTCCACTAGATGTTGGAACATTGCTGTGGGGACTTGCTTCCATTCAGCCACAAGAGCATAAGTGAGATCGGGCATTTTGTTGGGCGATTAGGCCTGGCTCGCAGTCGGCGTTCCAATTCATCCCAAAGGTGTTCGATGGGGTTTAGGGCAGGGCTCTGTGTAGGCCAATTAAGTTCTTCCACACCAATCTTGACAAACCATTTCTGTATGGATCTCGCTTTGTGCACGGGGACATTGTCAAACTGTTGCCACAAAGTTGGAAGCACAGAATGGTCTAGAATGTCATTGTATGCTGTAGAGTTAAAATTCCCCATCACTGGAACTAAGGAGCCTGAACCATGAAAAACAGCCCCAGACCATTATTCCTGCTCCACCAAACTTTACAGTTGGCACTATGCATTCGGGCAGGTAGCATTCTCCTGGTATCCACCAAACCCAGATTCGACTGCCAGATGGTGAAGCGTGGTTCATCACCCCAGAGAACGTGTTTGGCGGCGATCTTTACACCTCTCCAGCCGATGCTTGGCATTGTGAATGGTGACCTTAGGCTTGTGTGCTGCTGCTTGGCTCCCGATGAACAGTTCTTGTGCTGACGTTGCAACCAAGGACAGACGATTTTTACGTGGTACGTGCTTCAGCACTCGGTGGTCCCGTTCTGTGAGCTTGTGTGGCCTACCACTTCACGGCTGAGCCGTTGTTGCTCCTAGACGTTTCCACTTCTCAATAACAGCACTTACAGTTGACCGTGGCAGCTCTAGCAGGGCAGAAATTTTACAAACTGACTTGTTGGAAAGGTGGCATCCTATGATGGTGCCACGTTGAAAGTCACTGAGCTCTTCAGTAAGGCCATTCTACTGCCAATGTTTTACTCTGGAGATTGCATGGCTGTGTGCTCGATTTTATACACCTATCAGCAACGGGTGTGGCTGAAATAGCCGAATCCACTAATTTGAAGGAGTGTCCACATAATTTTGTATATATATAGTGTATCTATGATCAGGTGAAAAAAATATTTGTCCATATGATCAGTTGAGAAATCTCATACTATTGAGATGTTGAGATGCTTGCCTTTACCTTCTGGCCTGACAGCCTTCTCACAGGAGGTCTCCTTCTCTCCCTGGGAGTCCTGGGAGCCAGAGCAGGGCTCAATGAAACCTGAGTCTGTGGTGTGGGTGGAGAGGGCGTCTGGGTCTCCGGCTGAGAGTGCCGAGGCCTGGGCTGTCTCTAGTGGAGACTCAGGGACCAGAGAGGAGCTCTCCTGCTCAGAGTCCCCTGCCCCACCCCCAACGCCCCTGGCCTCATCCCCTGGCCCCACACCTTCAGAGATCTCTGCTGGAGGAGGAAGGTCAGCCCGGCACTGGAGGACCTCTGGGGACGTCCTGCCAGACTGAAAGGGAGGCTGGAACACGTTCACCGAATACCTATACAGAGATATGGGGAAAAGGGTGAGACCACATTGTAATCAGGTGACAGTCCAAAAAATGTCAAAGCAGCAAGTTGTATTGACATCTAAAGAGCAGCATTCATATCATCCATCAATTCCAGCGATCCCAATGGTACCTTGAGTATCCTTCCAGCAGCTGGGACAGACGGGCGTAGGTGAGTCTTGACTCAGGGACGCTGACCAGGAAGGGAAGCCCCACATTCTCCATGTTGGGGCGACACAGAACCTTGTGGTTGGACCAATGTTTTTTCTGGCAAACTCTGAAACATGAAGGAAAAAAAGTTAGGTTGGATTAAAAACTAAACGGATTCATTTTTTATTCATGAATCATTTAGGAGAACAGGAAATAGTTCTGAAATAGTTATCCTGTGTCATTGTGTGTTATTATTGGGATATTTCCTCATTAATCGCCTCTGTGTCATTAGCGCCAGGCAGCAGACATTTATTTAGTGTGTTGACTCACTGGTTGCAGTAGCCAACACGGTAGCAGCGGGTGCAGCGCTTCAGTTTCTCTTCCTCCGAGAGAGGAGGCTTCAGGCAGGCAGCACACTTAGAGATTGGGATACTGGGGACCTGAGGCCTCTGGACGGGGGGACAGGGAGACAGATGAGCTGAACACAGAGACAGACACTAGGTAACACACTAGGGACTTGTGTTATAGTTCCGGAAGGTTCGAATAGGACGGCAAGGAAGGCTGCTGGACATTTACCTGCTGGACTCTGAGCAGCACCACCCTCTCCTTGGCCAGCTCTTTAGACAGCACCTCGAAGCAGAAGAGCATGTCTGAGGAGGAGACTGTGTCCAGGGAGTGGGATGGGAGGAAGATCCGATGGAAGCGACTCTTCACTACCTCAGCCAGTCTCAGGTTCTCTGCCTTGATCCTCACACTCCTAGAGATGGACTCCAGGACCTCAGCTGTGCTCGAGTTATCTTTACTCACACTCACAAGGAACTGACACACACCAGAATCAGAGGAAGCAGACTTGGTCAAATAAATCAGTCAAATCAAATAATAAACCGAAGCCATCTGCTATCTGAATGAAACCAATATGTCATCTTACCTTCATGGGTTTCTTGTGAGGCTCTTTAGCAAAGTAGAACACTGTGAGGACCTTCTGCTTCTGGGGCAGGGGCACGGGAAGGTAGAGGAAGGGGTCAAAGGTTATGGAAACCTAGAGAGAGAGAGGGAAGGACATTTGAACTTTTCAAAACAGGTCAAGTAGAACTTCCTATCGCAGCACTAAATAAATGAGTTTCTTCCACTACAACACAGCCAGCCACCAACACCAATCCTCAATTCGTCTAATAACTCTGATGGGTCCATTTTTCTCCATTACTGAATTAGGTTTCCCTCCATTGCAGCTTAACAGCCAGGCCCCAAGTCTCAAATCATCTGCATCATATTAACTCAGAGTCTAAGCCCTGTCTAAACCAGGGGAGGGGGGTTTCTACTAAGCTATATGGAATTGTTTTAAGAAGGTCATACCAAGGATCAATTAGCTATTTGATTTTGAAAAATATATATATTTGATGAAATTTTTTTTTGGGGGGGGTCTTACTACTTTTAGCCCATGTATTTAAACTAGGGGTGTAACGATTCGTTTTAACAACGATTCGATTTGTATCACGATTCGTGGTTGTCGATATGATTCAAGGACGATATTGGTTCATTTAGAACGATACGATCCGAAACGATTCAGTGACTTGAAATCGATTCAGTAACCTTTTAGCCAAAAATTCAACCAGTGTGACTGAAATAAATACCTGGATACTGGACAGTGCAGGTGAAGTTTCCTAGATTCCTGTTTCTTGTAAGGACCGCAATGGTGGCTTGATAATTTCTCGCTCGTCGGCTTCTCCTCTGTCGTCCGCCATGCTATGTTTTGTTGTCTTTGCGCCGCTGTTGGCGCGATGACGTCACGGATAGGCAGACTGAATCGAGTAATGTTTAAAGCCTTTATCATTAAAAGTGCTAAGAAAAAACATCCATATAAAGTCTGACGTGCTTAAATCCAATGGGTTATTTCCTAGTATCGATACAATCGATTTATTACATTTTAAAACGATGTTAGATCGATATATGTTGTCCAAAAGGCCAACTCGCCGAGCACAGATCGATGTAGTTGGATCATAGGAATATAAATCGATACATCGATGTAGTAGATGGATCGTTACACCCCTAATTTAAACCCATATTTTTGGCACTAAACAGTCTCCATATACAGTATACTTCCATTAATTTTTTCAACTGTTACCGGGGGACCTTCAGACGAGTCTTGTGAGGCCTGTGGGCGTCCTAGAGCAAAACAACAGACATGTACATCTTCGTGAGAATCTCACATTTTAGTGTAGCCCAAACGGTTTGGATGTTACAGACGATTCTGCGAGAAGACCAGTTTTCGGGATGTCTCATGGTCTGACAAACACCGCTCTAGCTTTGTCACCTTTCACCGCGAGATGCGGAAGTGCGACATAGTCGAATGCAGCGGATTGAGACGCATCCAATGCAAAAAAAAAACGGATACCTTTAGCTTAAACTAACAGATCTTTATGGGGATTTGTTATTATTATGCTAATTCGATTTCAGCAGACATCGATCTTAGGGGGTTAAATGCCCATTATCATGACACCTAAGGGGCAGACATGCCTAAAAACAACAGTCATGGTCTGTTTTCAGGAGTGGACGGCCGTAGCAAACAGAAGTACTATGTGGTTTCATCCCAGTGAGTTTGACTGATAAACTGAAAGACCAGAAACACCTCCCAGTCCCACTGAGCCTCAATAAAAAAAAACACAGTTGAACATGAACACCCAGATATAGTCAGACAGGTGTTATTGGGAATTGCAATAATTCCCCTGTTTGTGTCTTACCTTGGTGCACATGGGGCAGACAAGCTTGGATTTGTACTGGCCCTGGAAGAGGTCTACAATGAATGAGTCGTTTCTCATCTTGTGCCTCTGCCACGCCTCATCTGCCACCACCTGTTAAAACAGACACACCATGTCACAACTGGACCTGAAGGGAACCGTGACACAGCAGTGTCGTTATGAGTACGACTGCCTCTGTATTGATTGCCGTTTGGGGTTTTAGGCTGGGTATCTGTAAAGCACTTTGTGTCATCTGCTGATGTAAAAAGGCCTTTATAAAAAAAATTTTGATTAATTGAGTATGGTGCTGCTCAAACCTCTATTTCACCCACCTCGTCCAGCCGTCCGTCTGAGTCCACTGTCTCTGTGTAGGGCTTGTTCTGGATGCGGTTCAGGTCCTCGTGGAGCCCATCCAGGAGGAAGGCCATGAACTCCTGGGCATCGTGCTGGGCATAGCCTGTAAACTGACTGGCCTTACTGGCCACGATCGCCTGGAGAATAAAGACAAAACATCTTACTGGCCACGATCGCCTGGAGAATAAAGCCAAAACATCTTACTGGCCACGATCGCCTGGAGAATAAAGACAAAACATCTTACTGGCCACGATCGCCTGGAGAATAAAGCCAAAACATCTTACTGGCCACGATCACCTGGAGAATAAAGTCAAAACATCTTACTGGCCACGATCGCCTGGAGAATAAAGCCAAAACATCTTACTGGCCACGATCGCCTGGAGAATAAAGCCAAAACATCTTACTGGCCACGATCACCTGGAGAATAAAGTCAAAACATCTTACTGGCCACGATCGCCTGGAGAATAAAGCCAAAACATCTTACTGGCCATGATCGCCTGGAGAATAAAGCCAAAACATCTTACTGGCCACGATCACCTGGAGAATAAAGCCAAAACATCTTACTGGCCACGATCGCCTGGAGAATAAAGCCAAAACATCTTACTGGCCACGATCACCTGGAGAATAAAGCCAAAACATCTTACTGGCCACGATCGCCTGGAGAATAAAGCCAAAACATCTTACTGGCCACGATCACCTGGAGAAAAGATGAGAAGACTAAAGGCTGTACTGTAACCCTAATACTGGGTGCTTGGTTTAAATCTGTGTGGAGGGCATGATGGTGTTGTGGTAGCTCAGTTGGTAGAGAATGGCGCTTGCAACGCAAGGATAGTGGGTTCAATTCCCAGGACCACGCATATGTAAAAATGTATTCATGCAAGACTAAGGCGATTTGGGTTATTTGGGCATCTGCTAAATGGCATATATTATACTATTATATATTATTAAATAACAGGAGGGAGTTAAAGACAGGACTCTCAGGAGAGTGGATTGTCACCTTTAACTTAGAGGGCTGGAAAGCATGGTGGGTACCCTTCCACAACGCCCGCAGCAGCACAGCGAACCCAATGGCCAGCCGACCACCTGTCCCCAACGGGTTATTACAGTTGATCTCATTCTCAAAAGCCCGGTCTGCAAAGACGGGGAGAGAACACAGTTAATGTGGTTTAATATCAGTCACTGAAGTTTCATAAATTGACTTGCATGTTGAAACATTTTTTATTAGAAAATACTTTATTCCCTACAACGTTACATTTCATTTTTATATTTACATCTCCAGAGACATATTTCATAAAGGATTTTAAAAAGTGATCAGCTTAAACAACGAATGACAGACAGGAGGAAAGATGAAGATCAGAGGAGCTGACCATGAAAGTAGTCCCTGAGTTCCCGGGTGTTGGACAGAGACTGGATGACACTGTTCATGAAGCAGGTGTTGCCCAGGTTGACCAGGCCTGTGAAGCCTGGCAGACACACCTTCTCCTCCTCCTCCTCCTCCTCCTCAACGCTGCGCTGGCTGCCAGCAGGAGGAGCGTGGGTCATGGGCTGGACCATGCAGGTGGGCTTGGGCTTAGGGATGAAATTCCATGAATCAAATCAACTTTATAAAGCCCTTTTTACATCAGCAGTTGCCACAAGTGCTGTACTGATACCCAGCCTAAAACCCCAAAGAGCAAGCAAAGCAGAGGCAGAAGCACAGTGGCCTGGAAAAACACCAACCCTCAAGGCTCATAGGATAACATGATAAAGAAATATGATTCCTTCCCCCTACTCATTATTCTCTCTCTCCCCCTCTCTCTCTCTCTCTCCCCCCTCACCGTGACTACAGGCTCCTGTTTGATGGGGACATGGTCTGAGACGGTGCGGGCTGACACACTGTCCAGGCCTCCGTCCTCTGTCCGAGGGGGCTTGGGTTTCTCCTCCCCCACCCGGGGGGGCTCCTCCTTGGCAGGGAGGGTGTGCTGGCTGCTGCCCGGCTGACTCGTCTGAGAGGACGGTCCGGAGGGCACAGCAACCTTGGCGCCACCCACTGCACCTTAAACAGAGGAGGATGAGCTTGTGGTCAACGACAAACGACTGTCAGGACCAAGAGAAGCACATTGCATACGGCCAAGTGAACGGAATGGCCCTGTGCACTTGAGATTCCTTTAATTCACTACTAGAAACGTGACAGTGCCTACCTGCTGGAAAACTTGTAAAAGTAGTACACCAACTACATCTATGCCTACTAGCATTGTAAAGTATATCAAGAGATACTAGCACCAGTAAAATGACAGATATTACAAGTTAAGGACATAACCTAGGCACTGCAGTTCTGCACTGACACTCAGACCCGTTGGCTTGTGAGAGCAGCACACTGAGTTACTGGATGAGTTTCAGTGCTCAGATTCCTGTCCGTAGTGCTGCCTTGAATGTAAACACCCACATGCCTGCCTATCACAGTCACGCATAACATTTACACACTGAGTAGATCAAACATTAGGAACACCTTCCTAACATTGAGTTGCCCTCAGAACAGCCTAAATTAAAATCGGGGCATTGGACTCTACAAGGTGTCGAAAGTGTTCCACAGAGATGCTGGCCCATGACTCAAATGCTTCCCACAGTTGTGTCAAGTTGGCTGGACGTCCTTAGGGTGGTGGACCATTCTTGATACACACGGGAAACTGTTGAGAGTGAAAAACCCAGCAGCGTTGCAGTTCTTGGCGCAAACCGGTGCGCCTGGCACCTACTACCACAACACGTTCAAAGGCACTTAAAAAAAACCATTGTAAAGTGGTTATCCCACTGGCTATAAGGTGAATGCACCAATTTGTAAGTCGCTCTGGATAAGAGCGTCTGCTAAATGACGTAAATGTAATGTAAATGTTAATAATTTTGTCTTGCCCATTCACCCTCTGAATGGCACACATACACAACCCATGTCTCAATTGTCTCAAGGCTTAAAAATCCTTCTTTAACTTCATCTACACTGATTGAAGTGGATTTAATAAGTGACATCAATAAGGGATCATAGCTTTCACCTGGTCAGTCTATGTCATGGAAAGAGCAGGTGTTCTTAATGTTTTGTACACTCATATATTAGGTCCACACATCCTGGTATCAACCCTCCCACGTAATTCACATGCTTAAAGACACATTAGGACAAGCTCTAATGGTTTCCTAGGATACTGGTTAGACCTACAGTCAGTTACAGTCAATTGGTTCAACTGAAACGCGGCCAGTCAGTGTGCTCCTCAAACAGCAATATAAAGTAAGTCAGTTAATACATTTGTGTGGAAGCCATTGTGTGTGTAATATTTATAAGGGCCTGCTATATTTCAAACTGTGTGACAGCTAGTGTAACAGATGTCTATAACGTGTGCAGTAGAAGCCAGGCAGCAGGAAGACCTTGTGTTGTGGGGGCCTCCAGGCCCCCCCAGCGCTGGCTGTGCCTCTTCTTCAGGGTGATGTCTAAACGGGACGGGGTGAAGGCGTACGTAGACTGCTCAGGCTGGATGAGGTTCCTGCAACAGAGGATCCCAGCTTGTCAGACTCATGGTCTCAATGAAAACCAAGGGGCCGTGTAAACATATCAATAGAAATGCCACAAACTCACAGACCAAGTTGGACTTCGAAGTCTTACCTGAGTTTGACTTGCCACTTAAAGACCGTATTCGCTCCGCAGTCTGCATGAAGGCGCAAGAAATTTGCATCGCTGTTTGAAAGGGAAGAGGGTTCAGTAAGCCGGAAACACCACTAAAATGTAATTAAGATCCACTAAGGCCACCGAGGTGAAAGGTCAGAAGGACTAAGTTACCTGGTCTGGAAGAGGAGTGTGAAGTCCTGTTCCCTGAAGATCACCCTGACCGTCTCTCTGAAGATGCCCTTCATGTACACGTTGACCACCATCAGGTCTGTCCCTTTCTCGTACGAGTCGTTCTTCAGCAACTTCAGGTTCACCATTGGCTCTGGAACTGCTAAAAGATAACCACAGCGTCACGTTTCAGATCACTGTATGCAGACCACGGACTCTATCCTCACGGCAACTGATCTGTCATTTCTCTCACAAACCACAGTACTATAGCCATGTTTCTGCATTGAGCTATCCTGACAAATTATTTGCGTGACAAAAATGTTCACTTAAAATCAGATTCGTGAATTTCATCGTCCTTTTGAGATGTCCACTGACCATCCTCCTGCTTCATCTCCAGAGGTTCCTCTTTAGACCTGTCCCTCTTCTCCTCCTCTGTGCTGCTGCTGCTGCTGGGGGAATCAGCCTGCTTGGTGGGTGTTGCTGTCATAGGCTCCCCTGATCCTGACTGTTTGGTTGGTGTTAGTCTCTCAGTGGCCTGGTCAGCCTCATTCTGAGACGCTCTCACTAGCGTCTCAGAGTCAGTCCTCTCAGCCTCCCCTGGCCTCTCTGTTCTGTTGGTGTTTGTGGAGGCTCCAGCCTTGGGGCTGAACCCAGCAGTGGACACAGTGGCTGCCGGTACGATTACCTCTTCTGCCCCAGCCTTGAAATCAGACTCTGGGGCCTTCTTATCCTCCATCTAAAACAATAATGGGCGTTTACAATCAGATGCAGAGCAGCAGATAATCACAAACACATTTGAACCCACACAGTACTCAGTGCCTGGTGAGATGGTGCAGTCTAGAGAAACTGGGACTCACCTGAATTTTCAACTCCTGCTGCGTGTGGCTGACGGCTACCTCAGGTGTTGTACCCTCATGGCCGTTTCCTAGTAGCTCAGCTCGATTGTTACCAGCTGTAGATGTCTGTGGGTCCCGGCCAGTGGCAGTAGGGCTGTGTGGTTTCCCATTGGCTGTGGACTTGGGGTGTGTATCCCTGGGTGTATCTGAGGTGGGGTCCTTTGGGGGACGGACGGTGCGCTTGGCACTGGGCTCCTGAGGCAGGTCCCCTTTACTGACACTGACAGGCTTGGTCTGCCCCTCTTCTGCAGCCTTCACCCCAGCCTCTGGCCTGTCAGCTGGTTTGTTGTTCATGGTGCGTTTGACACCGCGCTCTGCTTTGCTACGCCTCTGTTCGCTCTGTGCCGGTGGAGCAGAAGGCTGGGTGGACAGTTTGGGCTTGTCTGCCATCTCCGGGACAGATTTCTCTGGCTTTACCAGCGGCTTTACCAGCGGCGGCTGTTTCTGGTCTTTGCCGTTCTTGGCCTCCACGTTCACAGGCTGCTTCTCTTTTTTATTTTGCTACAGAGAGAAGACACAAAATGTTGCAGATTTTCTATGTATTGCTTTAGGAATTGTGTTGAAACCTTCGCAAGGGATAGGCAATAGGCATACAAAAAGATGGCAGTTGATGCTATTGCATGAGAGACCCATATGCTCAATTACAGCAGGGAGGGCTGCTGGCAGACTCACCATAAGGGAAGGCCAGGAGTGGAAGGGGATCTTCTTGTGCATGACCAGAAGGAGGAAGCCACCCTTCTCTTTGTACTGCACTTTGCTGCAGGAGCCCTCAATCTCCTCATGCAGATGACAGTCCCACTGGCGCCCATCTGAAGAGAGAGCAGTCACGGGCCATCAGACTAGCTCGAATGCTGCATGGTCACAGTGAAAGACTAAACGCCATGCAGATCAAAGACACGTACACACACTCCCTCATTCAAACGCCATCTCCGCACATACACACTTAAAACGGACATGTAGCCTATACAAGCATCACATACACTTGGGCTATAAAGACATGTAGGTGGCGTAGTTCGTTTGAGGTGTGTGTAGCTTGTGATCTGACCTGGGAAGTGGGCCTGACAGTCCGTGTCGGTGAAGGTAGTGGCGACGTCCTCCACCCTCTGCACCCCGTCTCCACAGCGCAGCCTCACGATCACCTCATTTGCATTCTGCTTCCAGTCCACAAACACATCTACACAGCACCGAACGAGCAGAGACAAAACAGTTTGTCAGAGGCCTACCACACTCAGCATACCACAAGGATCACCTGCAAAATAGAACACTTTGTCCATAGCACATGCTGTGACGGTGTTAGGCAAGTACACAAATCAACCTAGAATGGTCTACAACAGATCAGCATAGTTTGTCTCAGAGGACTAGATTAGGGTTGAATATTTTACCGGTATTTTACAAAAATGTTCCATCCCGAGAATAAATCCCTTTTCTCCCGGGTAACCCGGTATTTTTCAGGTCATGCATGTGCCATGTATGCGAGTTCAGCTCAGTCTACTACAGAGCTCATGTTCACCATTACTACAGACTATCTCGTTTATTTCCCCCCTCTCACACACATACTGTATACAATTATCTCCCCCCTCTCCTCCTTCCTGAGCCTCTCTCTCCCTCTCCTTCCTGAACCGCTCTCACACACACAAGCTGTAGAATGACCCAGGCAACACCGCACCCTCTACAGCTGGGATCCCAGTCAGGTTGTATTCCATGTGACCCCCCTCTCCATAAACCCTGCTACGGTCCACTATGATTTTACCATAGTATTGACATTTGTCCTTCTTTGAACAAACTGCCAAATTACTCTTACCAATAGGGTAGTCCGTGGTGTCTTTCACTTGTGGTTTCTATAAATTGTTGAACGGCCTGTCACTTGCACATAGTTACATATACATTGAAAGTATGATATGTATTTTACTGATGTGTTACACCGCTAAAATATGAAAGAAACTGGGGAGGTGCTCGGTGCGTATCAGTGAATGGCATAGACAACAGCCAAGGCATTGGAAGGACACAAAGGATATAGTGTGGACAATGGGACCGAGGGTAGCTAGATGAGGCAAGAGGAGGATGCTGTGTGGGTGGAGACTCATGCCGGCCGGTCAGCCCTCTGAATTGAATGGGCTAATGTGTTCTGGTCGGAGAGAGCAGAGCAGGAAGAGGCACAGCAGCTTTCTCTCGTGACCTTGACAAAGCCTGTTTTCCCTAGGTCTGGCCTTACATCAGCTAGGATTACAACTCTTCAGCATCAGCACATGATACCTACCTACAGCAGCTATTAGCCAGTGTTTCCCCTATATGCATTTAGCAAGAGGGCGGCCTCTAAAACCACGCTATTGGCCACACTGTATTAGCAAACATGAATGGCTGGTGATCATGCATGAGCTCACTCAATCAGCGATCACATCTCAATTTCAGACACAATACTTAGACATGCAAGATGCCGCCGACAGGCATGGCAGCTCTGCTTCTAGCTCCTAAGCAACTTTGCAGTTTTTTGTTTGTGTGTGTTATTTCTTAAATTATTAGCCCAGAAGAAAATATTATTTCTTATAAGCATTTCGCTACACCCGCAATAACATTTGCTAAATATGTGTATGTGACCAATACAATTTGATAGCTGCTGTACATTTGCTCAGCAGTGGGTCTTGTACTAGACATTCTTACTCAGTATAATATGTTCAAGTTCTTCTTCAAGGGGTTATGGGAAGTGATATTTCTTGCATCCGCATGTTTACCTGTGAGGATAAACAGAGCCATCTTTCACATACCATTGTTCCATTACAAACTGAAAGCAACATGACCGAAGATGACGCATTGTAACACAAAGAAAAGACATGAGGCCTACACAAACATGTTACATGACCTGTTCTATATTCTACAATGAAAGAGAAGGCTGCAAATGACTAACATCTTACTGGAGGATGTTAAACAAAAATGTGTTGCCTCTTCGCTAAAGGCAAACACTGCATAGATGACACAAAGCAAACTTGAAGTACCGTTCAACACCTCGAGTCACCCCCATTTATCATCAGGTTTTTACATTGAGATGTTATGTCATACACAAATTAAAATATAGGCTCAACATAAGGGCTGTGTTTAAACAGGTAGCCCAATTCTGATATTCCCCACCCCCAACTGGTCTTTTGACAAATCAGATCAGCTCAATAACATATATTTTTTTAAAGACCTGATGTGAAAAGATCTGATGTGATTGGCCAAATCAAAAATAGTCACATACATATATTTTGCATATGTTATCGCAGGTGCAGGGAAATGCTTATGTTTCTAGCTCCAACAGTGCAGTAACACCCAACAATACAAAACAAATCCCCAAAATGTAAATAAATATCAGAACGAGCAATGTTAGATGCGGAGTATAAATAAATATAATGGTGTGAATAGACAGTATATGAATAGAAAAGGTGTTTACAGCAGTAGTTGTATAGGACGAACCTTGACTAGAATACAGTATATACAGTGGGGGGAAAAAGAATTTAGTCAGCCACCAATTGAGCAAGTTCTCCCACTTAAAAAGATGAGAGAGGCCTGTAATTTTCATCATAGGTACACGTCAACTATGACAGACAAAATGAGGAAAAAAAATCCAGAAAATCACATTGTAGGATTTGTAATGAATTTATTAGCAAATTATGGTGGAAAATAAGTATTTGGTCACCTACAAACAAGCAAGATTTCTGGCTCTCACAGACCTGTAACTTCTTCTTTAAGAGGCTCCTCTGTCCTCCACTCGTTACCTGTATTAATGTCACCTGTTTGAACTTGTTATCGGTATAAAAGACACCTGTCCACAACCTCACATAGTCACACTCCAAACTCCACTATGGCCAAGACCAAAGAGCTGTCAAAGGACACCTGAAACAAAATTGTAGACCTGCACCAGGCTGGGAAGACTGAATCTGCAATAGGTAAGCAGCTTGGTTTGAAGAAATCAACTGTGGGAGCAATTATTAGGAAATGGAAGACATACAAGACCACTGATAATCTCCCTCGATCTGGGGCTCCACGCAAGATCTCACCCCGTGGGGTCAAAATGATCACAAGAACGGTGAGCAAAAATCCCAGAACCACACGGGGGGACCTAGTGAATGACCTGCAGAGAGCTGGGACCAAAGTAACAAAGCCTACCATCAGTAACACACTACGCCGCCAGGGACTCAAATCCTGCAGTGCCAGACGTGTCCCCCTGCTTAAGCCAGTACATGTCCAGGCCCGTCTGAAGTTTGCTAGAGTACATTTGGATGATCCAGAAGAGGATTGGGAGAATGTCATATGGTCAGATGAAACCAAAATATAACTTTTTGGTAAAAACTCAACTCGTCGTGTTTGGAGGACAAAGAATGCTGAGTTGCATCCAAAGAACTCCATACCTACTGTGAAGCATGGGGGTGGAAACATCATGCTTTGGGGCTGTTTTTCTGCAAAGGGACCAGGACGACTGATCTGTGTAAAGGAAAGAATGAATGGGGCCATGTATCGTGAGATTTTGAGTGAAAACCTCCTTCCATCAGCAAGGGCAGTGAAGATGAAACGTGGCTGGGTCTTTCAGCATGACAATGATCCCAAACACAGCGCCCGGGCAACGAAGGAGTGGCTTCGTAAGAAGCATTTCAAGGTCCTGGAGTGGCCAAGCCAGTCTCCAGATCTCAACCCCATAGAAAATCTTTGGAGGGAGTTGAAAGTCCGTGTTGCCCAGCGACAGCCCCAAAACATCACTGCTCTAGAGGAGATCTGCATGGAGGAATGGGCCAAAATACCAGCAACAGTGTGTGAAAACCTTGTGAAGACTTACAGAAAACGTTTGACCTGTGTCATTGCCAACAAAGGGTATATAACAAAGTATTGAGAAACTTTAGTTATTGACCAAATACTTATTTTCCACCATAATTTGCAAATAAATTCATTAAAAATCCTACAATGTGATTTTCAGGATTTTTTTCTCATTTTGTCTGGTCATAGTTGACGTGTACCTATGATGAAAATTACAGGCCTCTCTCATCTTTTTAGTGGGAGAACTTGCACAATTGGTGGCTGACTAAATACTTTTTTCCCCCACTGTACATACAGTGAGGGAAAAAAGTATTTGATCCCCTGTTGATTTTGTACGTTTGCCCACTGACAAAGAAATGATCAGTCTATAATTGTAATGGTAGGTTTATTTGAACAGTGAGAGACAGAATGACAACAAAAAAATCCAGAAAAACACATGTTATAAATTGATTTGCATTTTAATGAGGGAAATAAGTATTTGACCCCCTCTCAATCAGAAAGATTTCTGGCTCCCAGGTGTCTTTTATACAGGTAATGAGCTGTGATTAGGAGCACACTTAAAGGGAGTGCTCCTAATCTCAGCTTGTTACCTGTATAAAAGACACCTGTCCACAGAAGCAATCAATCAGATTCCAAACTCTCCACCATGGCCAAGACCAAAGAGCTCTCCAAGGATGTCAGGGACAAGATTGTAGACCTACACAAGGCTGGAATGGGCTACAAGACCATCGCCAAGCAGCTTGGTGAGAAGGTGACAACAGTTGGTGCGATTATTCGCAAATGGAAGAAACACAAAAGAACTGTCAATCTCCCTCGGCCTGGGGCTCCATGCAAGATCTCACCTCGTGGAGTTGCAATGATCATGAGAACGGTGAGGAATCAGCCCAGAACTACACGGGAGGATCTTGTCAATGATCTCAAGGCAGCTGGGACCATAGTCACCAAGAAAACAATTGGTAACACACTATGCCGTGAAGGACTGAAATCCTGCAGCGCCCGCAAGGTCCCCCTGCTCAAGAAAGCACATATACAGGGCCGTCTGAAGTTTACCAATGAACATCTGAATGATTCAGAGGAGAACTGGGTGAAAGTGTTGTGGTCAGATGAGACCAAAATTGAGCTCTTTGGCAACAACTCAACTCGCCGTGTTTGGAGGAGGAGGAATGCTGCCTACGACCCCAAGAACAGCTTCCCACCGTCAAACATGGAGGTGGAAACATTATGCTTTGGGGGTGTTTTTCTGCTAAGGGGACAGGACAACTTCACCGCATCAAAGGGACGATGGACGGGGCCATGTACCGTCAAATCTTGGGTGAGAACCTCCTTCCCTCAGCCAGGGCATTGAAAATGGGTAGTGGATGGGTATTCCAGCATGACAATGACCCAAAACCCACGGCCAAGGCAACAAAGGAGTGGCTCAAGAAGAAGCACATTAAGGTCCTGGAGTTGGCCTAGCCAGTCTCCAGACCTTAATCCCATAGAAAATCTGTGGAGGGAGCTGAAGGTTTGAGTTGCCAAACGTCAGCCTCGAAACCTTAATGACTTGGAGAAGATCTGCAAAGAGGAGTGGGACAAAATCCCTCCTGAGATGTTTGCAAACCTGGTGGCCAACTACAAGAAACGTCTGACCTCTGTGATTGCCAACAAGGGTTTTGCCACCAAGTACTAAGTCATGTTTTGCAGAGGGGTCAAATACTTATTTCCCTCATTAAAATGCAAATCAATTTATAACATTTTTGACATGCGTTTTTCTGGATTTTTTTTATGTTGTTCTGTCTCTCACTGTTCAAATAAACCTACCATTAAAATTATAGACTGATAATGTCTTTGTCAGTGGGCAAACGTACAAAATCAGCAGGGGATCAAATACTTTTTTCCCTCACTGTATGAAGTGGGTAACAGTATGTAAAGATTATTAAAAAGTGACCAGTGTTCAATGACTATGTACATAGGACAGCAGTCTCTAAGGTGCAGGGTAGAGTACCGGGTGGTAGCCGGCTAGTAACAGCGACTAAGACTCAGGGCAGGGTACTGGGAAGAGGCCGGCTGGTGGTGACTATTTAACAGTTGGATGGCCTGGAGATAGAAGCTGTTTTTCCAGCCTCTCGGTCCCAGCTTTGATGCACCTGTACTGTCTCCACCTTCTAGATGGTAACGGTGAACAGGCAGTGGCTCAGGTCCTAGATTATTATTTTGGCCTTCCTGTGACACCGGGTGCTGTAGATGTCCTGTATGGCAGGCAATGTGCTCTCAGTAATGCATTGGTCAAAAGACCAATTAGTGGAAAAATTATCAGAATTTGGCTGCCCGTGTAAACGCAGTCAAATAGGCTTGCTTTCAGCAAACACTCGACCCATCCTAATAAAGCAACATCTCAGGGACGTACCCTCGTGCCTTACCAAGTTAACCACACCTCAAATCTCTCCCCTTCAACCCTCTCACCTTTCTTGTGCTCTGCGTTGGCCCCGGCTGCTGCTCGCTTGGCCTCCCTGCTCTCCTGGTTGGCCCTGTCCTTCTGCTTCTTCTTGCTGGTGCTGTCATCTGCGCTGCGCCGACCCCCATTCCGCCGGCCTGACTCACTGCTGCTGGCCATCTTCAGGCGCTTGGCGCTCACGGGCCGCCCGTCGCCGGCGTCACTGCTGCTGCCGCTGCTGGGGTCTGGTTCTGAGGTGTGCCGCTTTCTGCCCGGTCCAGCTATCTTGGCGATGTAACAGGTCAGAACTCTCCCAGAACAGAATCAGGGGTCCTGAGAAGAGTCAGGGGACCACCACAGTAATGAATGAGTGTTACAGAGCTACGTAAGAGTCATAAAGAGTGTGATATGTGGTGTATATAGTAGGTTACAGAACTATGATCAATTAGGTCATTTACACACATCCACATTTTAAACCTCACCCCTTTCAGATTAAACTCAAATTTCAAACATTTCCTGTACATTGATCAGATTGCATTCTGTCTGCAAACATTGCAATACTTATACTTGTGGTGGCTGTCTTATTGAGTATCCCAACACTGTGTGATACTAGCTACTGTATCTAGCTAGCTATCTGTTTTGCCTTGGATGTTGCCTATGAATGTTATACCCTGGATTGCTAGACAATGTGACTAGAAAACATTACGTTACCTTCGGTACAATGCTAACAAACGTTAACTACAATGTCTTTAAGTGGCTAGCTAGACTATTTTTGTTTAATTTACACATTTGGCTATAACAGTATACCTAACATTACACCTTCATGTACATTTCTGCCACAGTCTTTACCCTCAATGCAATGGCGTCATGTTCATGCGGCAAGTTAGCTAGCTAGTGACGACCAGTTACTTAACGTTTGGTAGCTAGCTAACATGCTAAAATGAGTTACTTGGCTATCAATGATCATTGGCCAATCAGTTCTTCAAAAATCTGACAATTCAACGTTCAAATGTTAACAGGTGATCTCTATAATGTCATTAACGACATGGATAAATTGCCAATGTAACGTTAACGTTACCTGGCTATCGAGCTAGCCGGCTAACGTTAGCTAAGCTAACAACAGTTAGCCAACTAGCTTTAGCTTCCTAGCTAAATTACTAGTGGTTCTGGCGAATGTCATTAGCTTGTTAGCTAATTTAGCTACCTAATGTTAGTCAGCTATGTTGACAAGCTAGACAAACAATACATATTGACAATAGCGCCTCATGACTTGTTATAATTAAACATAAAAAATATATATACTAGCCAGTAATGACCGACTACTTACAAAACATGTATAATTTTGAGTGCCGTCTCCCCGTCTTTGTGCACAATGGCCGGCGAGTCCGTACTTCAGCCCTCGCTAAGCTCCTTGACGGCCGCGGGCCTCTGCTCACCCCTTCCCGCAATCGAAACCCCGTACTCTCTGCTGTTTCTAGAATATTCTCGTTATCCAGGACCCATCTCTTATAGATTCCGAAATATTTTAATCAAATATAGGTGACTTGAATGACAACAAAACGATAAATCGATTCAACCTAAATTACTTTACCAGCCCACGCGAAATGACTCGCACTTTGTTTAGGAACAAAAACAGTCCGAACCGAAATCCACACAGAACACTGACCACTTCCTGAAGGCAGGCAGGCTGAGGCGGCACTGCAGCAACCAACCCCTCACAATGAGATAATCTCAATTGTATTCTCCTCGCGTCCTCTCTCCTCGCCTCCTTCTCAAAACCCTTTGGATGAAAAAACCAAAGGTCCCGCCCCTATGACCTTCTCCTCCAATTGTATTTGGAGAAGGAGGCAAGAGGACGCGAGAAGGGTGCAATTGAGATTCTGTCAATGTGGAGATTCCGCCAATGTGACAAAGGTTTTCTTGGCTGGTTCTACAGGTAGGCAGCTATGCAACCAGAGCATGAGATTAGTAAAACAAGCCTATTATAGGGGGTTTATTATAGGGGGATGTTGAATAAGAAATGAACTAGTTTTGACATGACAATTTTTTACAATATTCTCCTTAGGTGATCCATATCTCTCTCCCCACCATTGCATATGCAATGCATGTTTATTAAGTGTAGTGATGGTGTTCCAGTTTTATTAGTCACACAATTTCAGTTTCCCTACACTGGAGGGTGGAAATGCTTTTTTAATGTATATTTTCAGGTAACTCCAAAAAGCTTTCTCTCAATTATATAAACAATACCAACCATTGAATTCATGTAGGGTTTAAAGAGAACAAACATCCATCAATTAATCCAGGCGAGATCAGAAACCATGTCAAAGGGACCGATCATCCCCTTGTTCATCCTCAGTGGGTACACATAACTTTTATTAATTGTTTATCCAGAACAATCTATATATATAACTAATTTTTTGGCATTATTTATATTCTGAATGTGGCAATGTTTTGGGGTGATCTGAGTTTTGGCGCAAACATATGTGCACATGTTTTGTATTCTACACACAAATTGATTATTATTTTTGTAAATGTCATGTGGAGGCACTTCCATCCTTCAGTTGAAAGTCACACAGTAATACACTGAGGGCACACAATGTTATATTAGATGTGTGAAATCTCACAATCAAAAGGCACAGTTACAGTGTAGTCGGACAAGCGCCTTCATGGCTGTAGGTGCAGTACTGAGCCCCCCCACTAGAGAGCATACAGTGTACACCCTACAGGCTCAGCAGAGTAAAGCAGTAGTAGTTTCACATAGTGTCTGCAGTCAGTCAGTGTTGGTTTGACCAGCCAGGTCCTGGCTGTTACTGACAGGTGTTGTAGATCTGGATCTGTTTGTTGATGTCGTTGAGGATAGCCTTCATCTTGTCTTCTAGGCCGTCCAGCTGCCGGGCTTTGCCCTCCAACGTTTTCTTGTTCTCTTCATAGTCTTTCTCTAGTTCTGTGGATATAAAGTATGTCAAGTTTATATCTTAATGTTTTATCTCAGAATAACCAGACCTGGTTGACTGACATAGACCTGTCCTGGCACCCCAATGGTGGAACCAGCTTCCCCCTGAAGCTAGGACAGCTTCCGTAAGCACCTGAAACCCTACCTCTTCAAACAGTATCTTCAATAATCCCCCTCCTCACCTCAACCTCTGCCCCCCAAAAAAATAAAAATAATAATCCTGAACCTTGCACTTGACTCCTATCTAAAGTAGATAACTAATTTATTGAGTAAAAGTGTACTTATTATGCCTGTGGTTGTCCCACCTAGCTATCTTTTTTGTTGTTGTTTAGCAGACGCTCTTATCCAGAGCGACTTACAGGCGCAATTAGGGTTAAGTGCCTTGCTCAAGGGCACATCGACAGATTTTCACCTAGTCGGCTCGGGGATTAGAACCAGCGACCTTTCGGTTACTGGCACAACGCTCTTAACCACTAAGCTACCTACCACCCTATCTTAAGATGAATGCACTAACTGTAAGTCGCTCTGGATAAGAGCGTCTGCTAAATGACTAAAATGTAAACGTAAAATGTACAGCTCTCTGGTTTGAGCACACCATCAGACAAATTCAGACAATACAGTGACACTGTTTAACCACAAGAGGGCAATGTTGCCTTTGCTATTCTCCAAAGGTTAGCTTGCGTAAATCAAAAACAATTCTGCTCTTAATTAAACAAAGGAGGCCCAGTTCCCTCCAGGGTCCCTCCCACACACCTGCTAGTCTCCGGAGCTTGTTCTGGGCATCTTTTAGTAGCTCCTTGGCCTCGTCTCTCATGCGCTCTGCTTTCTTCTTGGCCTCCTGGACGGTCTTGGCTTTCCTGTCCACCAAGTCCTGCACTGTGTGATACTTATCTGTCAGCTCGCCATCTAAAATCTGAGAGAAAGAAGATTAGTAACAGTCACAGTATTAAAGTCCCAAATATACACATGAAATGAACACACACCCACATAGAATGAACACACACACACCTGCTTGGCATCATTGGCTTTGTCCCGTGCCATAGTGGCTGTCTCCTCAGCTCGAGCTGCTGCCATGCTGTTGTTTGCACGTTTGAGTTTCAGACCATCAATCTCCCGACCCAGGTTGCCCAGGCGGTCCATGGCATCATTCAGGTCATGTTCACTGCTGGTGGTTTGAGACACGATCTACGAGCAGGGAAAACATCAGGAATGTAGTATCTCTTGATCCCTTCATCCCATCAAACTGCATACAGATGGAGTCCACTCAGTTGAGAACCTACTGTACCTGTGCTAGTCGGGCCTCCGTTTCACCAATGTCCGCCTTAGCCCGCTGTATGGTCTTCTGCGCTGCAGCCTGGGCCGTCTTAGCGTCCTCGAGTGCCTGTTTCACCATCTCTGCTGTGGATTTCACCCTGTCTGCCCGATTCCTACAGAACGGAAACACATGTTGGAATCAGGAGCGTTTTGCCGTACTGGACTATTCCCTTTGACTTGACCCTCTAAATACAAGATACATACACACACACACACACACACACACACACCTGGCCTTCTTGGCCTCCTGCAGAAGCTGCTCTGCTTTGCGCACGTCGTCCTGTGTCTGTTTCAGAATGGCGTCTACATTGGAGAGGCTTCGGACCCGGTCCTTGATCTCCTCTGCCATGTGTCTGATCTGCTGTGGTGAGGCTGGGATGGACAACTCCAGGACACGGTTAGCTACCGTCTCAATGCTGTCTGGATCAGCACCCTCCTCTGCAAGGAGACAGAAAATATACTCAGATCAGCAAAGAGATTTTTGACGTAGATTGGAAATGAATACTTCATGATTATGATGCTGATCATGATGATGATCCTGAGTTCAAGATCAATTGCTTGTATGGTCCCATGTAGCCCAAGGTCGGAAACTCACTTTCCTCTAACATTTGAATTCTCTGTCACTTTGCCAAAATCTTTTCCTAGTAGCTAACTCACGCATGAGGAAGTCCCGTATCTGCTTGATGAGGTCCCGCAGGTCGTTGTTGGAGCGCTCCACCTTGTTCTTGGTGTTAGTGGCCTTGTCCAGAGCTGCCTGAGCTTTACCCTTTGCCTCCTCCGCCTTGCTCTTGGCATCTGCCACCTGAGAAGCCAAACAGGGGGATACAGAGAACCAGGGATAACTGTTATCAATTACCCTGACTTTGCTGATAGCTGCTTCATTGTGGAAACATTTGACCTACTATGACTGTACTATGTGGTTGTCTCACCTAGTGAATGCATTAACTGTAAGTCGCTCTAAATAACTGTCTGCTAAATGACTAAAATGTAAATGTTCCCTCATACTGTAGGTGATACAGGGGTATGTATGCATTTATGACATGTCACAATAGATTTAGCATGTCTTCATTCCCTGTCCAGACAGTGTTACTTGGTGTAACTGACCTTGTGGAAGAGCTGCTCTACCTCCCCCATGGCTTTGTTCAGCTCTTTCTCTGCATGCTTAGACCTCTCCAAGGCGTTATCTGCCACCGCTACAGCACCGTTGCAGTTCAGGCCACCGCAGTGCCTGTTCCCCTCGTCGTCACGGCAACCTGCCCCTCCGCAATGGCTCTCTGCACAGGGGGCATCGCCAGGGGCCCCACAGACCTGGTCAAAGGGGGTGGGATGGAACATGTATCAGATTAGTAGATTTTCATAACTTTCCATGAACTCTGACAGTTTGTATTTAGCTGTTTTTATTGTTGTTGCTATTTTCACTTTTTTAAATTAGACAACAGAGATGATGCTTTCTTCACCTTCTCGTTGATCTTTTTCATGTCCAGGGTTTGTGCCTTGGCATTGAGGTCCCCCAGGGCTCGCTTGTTGGCGGCGTTCTTGCGGTTGAAGCCGTCTTTCTTGGCAGAGATGAGGTGTTCTGTCTTGCGGCGGGTGTCTGCTGATTGGCTGACAGTGCTGGGCGTGGTAGTGGTGGACTGGTTGGCTCGCTGCTCTGCGTCACGGGACTTATTATAGGAGCTGCGGATGCTTTCATATGCTCCTGGGGGAAGGAGAGGGGCCAAAAAATAAGAAAGACACATTTAACATTTATTTCAAAAGTATTTATACAAAAAAAAACATTGATAACACCAGCCATTAGAGCACTACGTCTCCCAGAATCCCTCTGGTGGAAGGGGGACAGGAAGTCTCTGCTCACCCAGGAAGTTGGAGTTCTTGAGGATGTCCAGTTGGCGGTGGAGCTGATCTGAGGTCAACTTGAGCTCTTTGGCCTCTCTCTCCAGAGCACTGAGCTCATTACTGGCCTCAACGTTACTGTTCCCCACACTGGTCAGGTCTCCCTCCAGATGATTCAGTGCGTCTGTGGTCTCCCCTATCTGAGACCTGCAGCAGAAAAGCAGAAGGAAATTACAGTTAAAACTACAAAACCGGAGAAGAGGCATATTCATGGTGAATCTTTATTCAGACAGAGTCTACCTTTGTCTGTGTATTGTTATGTAAAGTATAATAGTGTCGGTGTGTACAGTATGTCTTGTACCTGAGGTCTTCAATGAGCTCCATCAGGCTGCCGACTGCCTCTGCGGTGGTGTTGCGGGCGTTGACGATGCCCTGGGCCAGTGCCAGCTTCTCCTCCAGTTCTCTGAAAGCCTTCTCATAGGCTCCAGTCAGGCCCGTGGTCTGGATCTCCAGAGCCCGCTCCGACAGGGTCTTGGTTCGGACAGCCAGGTTCTGTACCACCCGGTCCCAGTCCCCGAAGCACTGGTGGCAGGGCTGGCAGTTAGGGAACTGGCCTGAGAAGCCCCGGGCACACTGGTCACAACGCACGCCCGACACCCCCTGTTGACACACACAGTGGCCTGACTTCTGGCCACACTGAGAGGTCTCTATGCCCCGGGGGTCACAGTCACAGGCTGAGAGAGAGAGATGGAGAGATAGATGAAGAGAGAGATGGAGAGAGAGACAAAAAGAGAGAGAGTGAGATGGAGAGAGAGATGAAGAGAGAGAGAGATGGAGAGAGATATGTAGAAACAGAGATGGAGAGAGAGATGAAGAGAGAGAGGTGGAGAGAGATGGACAGAGAGATGGACAGAGAGATGAAGAGAGAGAGATGGACAGAGAGATGGAGAGAGAGAGAGAGAGATGGATGAAGAGAGAGAGATGGACAGAGGGATGGAGAGGGAGAGAGATGGAGAGAGAGATGAGAGAGAGAGATGGAGAGAGAGAGAGATGGACAGAGAGGAAGTCGGGGATCGTTAGTATATGTCTGCTGCTGATATTTTGATGCCAAACTTATGAATAACATGCTACATGGCACTGCTGCTAATGCTGACCTCTGCACTGGATCCTGGGGTCGCCCCAGTAGTTCTCTTGGCAGTCTGTGCAGGTCTTCCCACCAAATCCATCACGACACTGACACTTTCCAGTGAACTGGGGCACAGAGAGGACAAACATGAGCATGAGGTCAGAGACGAGGTTTATCCCATAAAGTACCTTAGTAATGAAACCACACACACACACACACACACACACACACACACACACACACACATCCACACCTCGTTGCAGGCCGGGTTTACAGCGTTGTTGGGTTCACAGCTGCAGGCCTCACAGCCCCGCCCACTAGCCAGGTTCCAGTAGTTGGGCTTACAGTGGTCACATGTCAGGCCGATAGAGTTGGGTAGACACTGGCACTGCCCCGTGGCACGCTGGCAGACACACTCATCCCGCGCTGTACACTGGCTTTGCTCTGTGCCCAGGAAGTTACAGGTGCACTCTGAGGAAACAGAAGAAAATAGATTAAAACTTTACTGCACAACATATACAGTCTAAAATGCAACAATGATTAAAACGAATGGTTCTCAAGTTTTTTTGTGTGTGTAAAAAGGATGCTTCAACGGTCACTCACTTCTGCAGTTGCGTCGCGAGGCATCTCCATAGTAACCGCTCTTGCACACGCCACAGTCTGGTCCCTCTGTGTTGTAGAGACACTTCTTACACTCTCCTGTCCTCCGGTCACATGCATCCAGGTCTGACATGTCAATGTTGTTACTGCACCTGCACGGCTGGCACCGCCCACCTGGCTGGGAGGGGTTACCATAGTAACCAGGGGCGCACTCCTCACACCGGGAACCTGTGACCAATAGGACAAAAGGTTGAGGGAGAAGTAGGGAGATTTTTGGATGGAGAGAGATGGAAAGTGGAAAATCTCATGTTGAGATTGAGATATTTATTGGCTGGGTGAGGGTGAAAAATGACTTGGTATTTCCAAGTATTTCCAAACAGTTTTCCAGTAGACTTAAGGGAGAAGCTTCTAGTGTGATAGCTTCTGCAGACAGACAGAGACATGTGGTGAAACCCACCTCAGTGATTATCAGTAAAGTTATCAGAATGTTACTCATAATGTTCACATTATGTTATAAACCTGAATATCTTTCATATTTTATCATTGTGCAATGCTATTACATCTTGGGTTAAAGGGGAGTTTGCTTACCCAGGGGATTAACAGTGATTAGTGAGGAGGTCTGTGATCGCACTGTTGCAGAGTGGATTATGCTTCAGCAGTGTTGTCGAGTCCGTTCTCGAGACCATATATTGAGTGTCTCTGTCTTGTCTCGGTGTCAAATACATTTTTACTTTGTCTTGACTCGGTCTTGGACAATGAGGACTTGTAATTTCTTCCCGAGACCGGCCGAGACCAGCGGAGTAAAAAACTAATTATCAGCTCGCATTGAGTCAGCGCATAAAAACGCCAGGCCAAATATCCACACTTATGTCATGATACATGAATATCTTATTGCTTCCTGCACTAAAAAAATGTGGGTTTAAACAAGGGTTGTTCTAAGATCCTCAAAGTTCTTCAAATAACCTTAGGATTCTTGGCACTGAAAATGGCCCCCAAAAGGTTCTTCCAAGAACCCCATAGGAGGTGGGGTTCATCGAGGAACCTCCTTAGTTGGTGGGGGTTCTTGCAGGAACCTAACTGCCCAACTGAAACATTTGGATTTGAATTTGAAAGGACAGCAGGTGAAGGCACTTAACTGAAAAATGTAAAGATCTCCTCAATTTAAGGTAAGGTTTGTCCCTTGTATGATCTAAATTGATATTGTTTTATGATTATACCATTTATCTTTTCATATTTGTGCAAATCTTTCTAAAACAGAGAATCGACACAATTCAATGGATATCAATCAACAAAGAGGTAAGAATATGTACTGTAGGCTATAAGGATATGTTGACGGCTAGCTGTATTGGGTGCAGATGACTGAACTGCTCACTTTTGTGTCTGTAGGTATACAGACGAGAAGGCATACAAAGGTATGTCAATTGGTATTGGTATGTTATGCAGATCAGATTTACCATGCTCTGCAAAATCATTCTGGCTATGGATACGGAGAACATCAACACATTAACATCAACACGCCAGAGGATATACCCATTGGACTTGGGGCTCTGCTGGGAGTTTACCTCATATTTGGATAATTATAAACACTGAAAACTTAAATATTGTTTTATTGTTGTTATTGTTAAGTGTATTATTATTAATAATAATGATAATAATAATAGGGGGGGGGGTAGTTCAGAAATGTACTCCAAAAGGTTCTTCAAAAGGTTCTTTGAGGATCCATTAAAAGGGGTTCTTTGAAGAACTATAGAAGATCTATATACACTGCTCAAAAAAATAAAGGGAACACTAAAATAACACATCCTAGATCTGAATGAATGAAATCATCTTATTAAATACTTTTTTCTTTACATAGTTGAATGTGCTGACAACAAAAATCACACAAAAATTATCAATGGAAATCAAATTTATCAACCCATGGAGGTCTGGATTTGGAGTCACACTCAAAATTAAAGTGGAAAACCACACTACAGGCTGATCCAACTTTGATGTAATGTCCTTAAAACAAGTCAAAATGAGGCTCAGTAGTGTGTGTGGCCTCCACGTGCCTGTATGACCTCCCTACAACGCCTGGGCATGCTCCTGATGAGGTGGTGGATGGTCTCCTGATGGATCTCCTCCCAGACCTGGACTAAAGCATCCGCCAACTCCTGGACAGTCTGTGGTGTAACGTGGCGTTGGTGGATGGAGCGAGACATGATGTCCCAGATGTGCTCGATTGGATTCAGGTCTGGGGAACGGGCGGGCCAGTCCATAGCATCAATGCCTTCCTCTTGCAGGAACTGCTAACACACTCCAGCCACATGAGGTCTAGCATTGTCTTGCATTAGGAGGAACCCAGGGCCAACCACACCAGCATATGGTCTCACAAGGGGTCTGAGGATCTCATCTCGGTACCTAATGGCAGTCTTAATTTAAGCTCTGGCGAGCACATGGAGGGCTGTGCGGCCCCCCAAAGAAATGCCACCCCACACCATGACTGACCCACCGCCAAACCGGTCATGCTGGAGGATGTTGCAGGCAGCAGAACGTTCTCCACGGCTTCTCCAGACTCTGTCACGTCTGTCACATGTGCTCAGTGTGAACCTGCTTTCATCTGTGAAGAGCACAGGGCGCCAGTGGCGAATTTGCCAATCTTGGTGTTCTCTGGCAAATGCCAAACGTCCTGCACAGAGTTGGGCTGTAAGCACAACCCCCACCTGTGGACGTCGGGCCCTCATACCACCCTCATGGAGTCTGTTTCTGACCGTTTGAGCAGACACATGCACATTTGTGGCCTGCTGGAGGTCATTTTGCAGGGCTCTGGCAGTGCTCCTCCTGCTCCTCCTTGCACAAAGGCGGAGGTAGCAGTCCTGCAGCTGGGTTGTTGCCCTCCTACGGCCTCCTCCACGTCTCCTGATGTACTGGCCTGTCTCCTGGTAGCGCCTCCATGCTCTGGACACTACGCTGACAGACACAGCAAACCTTCTTGCCACAGCTCGCATTGATGTGCCATCCTGGATGAGCTGCACTACCTGAGCCACTTGTGTGGGTTGTAGACTCCGTCTCATGCTACCACTAGAGTGAAAGCACCGCCAGCATTCAAAAGTGACCAAACCATCAGCCAGGAAGCATAGGAACTGAGAAGTGGTCTGTGGTCACCACCTGCAAAGCAGTCCTTTATTGGGGGTGTCTTGCTAATTGCCTATAATTTACACCTGTTGTCTATTCCATTTGCACAACAGCATGTGAAATGTATTGTCAATCAGTGTTGCTTCCTAAGTGGACAGTTTGATTTCACAGAAGTGTGATTGACTTGGAGTTACACTGTGTTGTTTAAGTGTTCCCTTTATTTTTTTGAGCAGTGTATATATATATATGTTAATCAAATAATATATATCTTTGGAAGAAAATACATTTCTTCACAAAAGTAGTGCACTGGACCTTTACTAGTCCTGTATTAGAGGTCTGTAGCGCTGGCCCTACAAAAAAATGATCAGCACCCTTGTATGCTCAAATCTTGTCGCTCAAACCATTTCGCACTCGTCTGAATTTTCTTGTTCCGCTAGTGCAGGTTGGCATTTATTGGGCTGACTCATGTACTGGAGGCAGCTCTGCCAGGGTAGTCACTAGCTGGCACAGCCACAAAGTTATAACATCTGATTTTAACCCTCACCTTAACCACACTGCTAACCTTATGCCTAACCCTTACCTTAAATTAAGACCAAAAAGCACATTTGGGTCTTCATGAATTTTTACTGTAGGCCTATATAGCTAATTTTGACTTTGCCACTGGCCCATCTAGTGGAAATCGCTCAGCTCTGCCTCAAGGACAAAACTCATCCCAATAAACGTCAACTCACTCCGTGCAGCTAGTAGGGAAAGAGTGGTGGAAATTGTTCGAAAGTTGCACGGTCACCAAGTAAGGGCAGACTGAGGAAGTTGTTACATATTTGGTATTTCTATCTAACCTGTTTGGGTTAGTGACCATTTGTAGAGTGTTTCTCTATTTTCCTCAGCATGCATTCATTTCACCATTCTGAATGTCTAAACTATCCATATAATCTTCTGAAATATGAAAACAGAAATACTGGGCATTTTTTACTCTTATTATGGTGGCGATTTGACTCGATTACAATCATGGTCTTGAATTGGACTTGCATTGTTCTGGTCTCGGTGTTGACTCGGACTCAATTTGCTCCGGTCTTGGTCTTCAAATCGGTCTGGCTTTAGGTGGTCTCTAACACAACACTGTGCTTCAGCCTTTTGGCAGACACTGTGAACGATTAGCTTCTCTCACAGAGAGCCTATATTTTCTAAGGATGGATTCAGAGGAAGGGAGACATACTTCGCATTTTTTTGTCCAACTGACGGCTGCAGGGGGCAGAGTATGCTGGGGTGGAGGGCGGCTGACTTTTGGGTTTGACAGACAACCTACAGCTGCTGGTCTTGAGGTCTCTCCAGCAAAACAAGGAGAGAGAGGTCACTCCTAGCAGGGAAGTACTGTATTCTAACCCCTAGTTGAATACCACATAGGATTTTCCTCACTTGACAGAAAATATTTCCTCACTTGAATGATAAACGGGCATTGTGATACTATTCTTTTGTGGAAACTGAAAGACCTAAATGTATACAACAAGGCAAGAAGACACAGAGGGCCCAATAAATTGAGGGTCATTTCTACTGTAAGTTATTTTCAATTGCAGATTACATTAAGTACCGAGCTTGATACCACATCTTGATACCACCGAGCTTGATACCACAGTTTGATACCACATCTTAGGGTTAGGGTTAGGGTTTGGTTGCAGAGACTTTGTTTGTTCCACTGTGCTTTACGGTAAAGCACTTCATGATTGTAGCAGCAAAGCTATCTAAAGCAGAGTAAAGCAGCTGTGAAGATTTGTCTATCTGTCACAGGCTCACAGTGGGTGTGAGTGAACACATAGGTAGACGTAGTCTCACGCTCACAGCTCCAGCTTGTCTGCTATGAGTGATGGACCTGTTCCTGTATTTTGTGTCTGTAACGGAGGCAGAGAATCACAGGACAAAATGCAGCGTGGCAGAGATTCTGTTGTTTTCAGTTGTTTGACTGTCCCTGCTGCTTGGTGCCCTGTGTGAGCCAGCGTGAGTAACAAGCACTGACTGTATGTGCCCAGTATAACATACAGTGGGGGAAAAAAGTATTTAGTTAGCCACCAATTGTGCAAGTTCTCCCACTTAAAAAGATGAGAGAGGCCTGTAATTTTCATCATAGGTACACGTCAACTTTTTTTTCCAGAAAATCACATTGTAGGATTCTTTATGAATTTATTTGCAAATTATGGTGGAAAATAAGTATTTGGTCAATAACAAAAGTTTCTCAATACTTTGTTATATACCCTTTGTTGGCAATGACACAGGTCAAACGTTTTCTGTAAGTCTTCACAAGGTTTTCACACACTCTTGCTGGTATTTTGGCCCATTCCTCCATGCAGATCTCCTCTAGAGCAGTGATGTTTTGGGGCTGTCGCTGGGCAACACGGACTTTCAACTCCCTCCAAAGATTTTCTATGGGGTTGAGATCTGGAGACTGGCTAGGCCACTCCAGGACCTTGAAATGCTTCTTACGAAGCCACTCCTTCGTTGCCCGGGCGGTGTGTTTGGAATCATTGTCATGCTGAAAGACCCAGCCACGTTTCATCTTCAATGCCCTTGCTGATGGAAGGAGGTTTTCAGTCAAAATCTCACGATACATGGCCCCATTCATTCTTTCCTTTACACAGATCAGTCGTCCTGGTCCCTTTGCAGAAAAACAGCCCCAAAGCATGATGTTTCCACCCCCATGCTTCACAGTAGGTATGGTGTTCTTTGGATGCAACTCAGCATTCTTTGTCCTCCAAACACGACGAGTTGAGTTTTTACCAAAAAGTTCTATTTTGGTTTCATCTGACCATATGACATTTTCCCAATCCTCTTCTGGATCATCCAAATGCACTCTAGCAAACTTCAGACGGGCCTGGACATGTACTGGCTTAAGCAGGGGGACACGTCTGGCACTGCAGGATTTGAGTCCCTGGCGGCGTAGTGTGTTACTGATGGTAGGCTTTGTTACTTTGGTCCCAGCTCTCTGCAGGTCATTCACTAGGTCCCCCCGTGTGGTTCTGGGATTTTTGCTCACCGTTCTTGTGATCATTTTGACCCCACGGGGTGAGATCTTGCGTGGAGCCCCAGATCGAGGGAGATTATCAGTGGTCTTTTATGTCTTCCATTTTCCTAATAATTGCTCCCACAGTTGATTTCTTCAAACCAAGCTGTTTACCTATTGCAGATTCAGTCTTCCCAGCCTGGTGCAGGTCTACAATTTTGTTTCTGGTGTCCTTTGACAGCTCTTTGGTCTTGGCCATAGTGGAGTTTATACTGATAACAAGTTCAAACAGGTGCCATTAATACAGGTAACGAGTGGAGGAGTTACAGGTCTGTGAGAGCCAGAAATCTTGCTTGTTTGTAGGTGACCAAATACTTATTTTCCACCATAATTTGCAAATAAATTCATTTCAAATCCTACAATGTGATTTTCTGGATTTTTTTTCTCTCAATTTGTCTGTCATAGTTGACGTGTACTGTGGCACAGCACCATAGATGGGAGGGGTGCTGAAGCCATGCAGGGGGCAGTTTCTTTTTTAGGGAGGGCGGGGGTTTCCCATCATCATTACTCACGCTTGAAGGAGCCCTCGGAGCGCTTAACCATCCCCCCTGTGCCAAGTTGGGTAAGGGAGGAGACAACACACGTTATCATTCCACATTCGTCCTGGTAGGAGAAACTTTCTACTTGACTATTGTCCAAAGATTTTTTATTTGGGTCACCAAAAGACCCACCATGGCGAATGACTTGGAATATCACACCATGGACATTTTGCCTGAGTTTAATCACACTAACCGATCATCTCCATTCACAGTGCATCATTAATTAACCCTATGATGCATCTGCTCATTCATGCAGACATGATCAAACTGTTCTTCATCATCCACTTCCCTGGCTAAGGAAGAGGAGGAAGAACAGGAAGGAGAGAGACAAGACATGAGGCGTGAGCTATACCTGTGTATCCTTGGTTACAGTTGCAGACCACCTGTCTGTTGCGGTTGTCCTGGTGACAGGAGGTAGCGAAGTGTCTTCCGCTGTTTGGGCCATCCGGGCAGGGGCAGGGCCGGCATTGGTTACCGTTACCTGTGCCCAGCACCGGGTTGCCGTAGTAACCTTTGGCACACCTTGAAATACAGCAATAGCATTAAGCTTGTCAATAGCATTACATTTACTACCGGTACCTTCACACTTATCCCCAGATCCCCAACTGTCCCCATGGTGAATCCTAACCTGTCACATTTGTCCCCTCCAGTGTTGTCCCTGCAGTTGAGACATGCTCCGGTCCTCTGGTGGCACTCCTCAGCATGTCCGTTACACAGGCACTGCTTACAGTTGGGGAAGCCCCAGTGTCCTGCCTGGCAGCCATCGCACTGCTGGCCAAACGCACCCTGGTGGCACGGGCACTGCCCAGTCAGCTGGTCACAGAACCGAGTGACTGTACCTTCCAGACTACACTCACAGGCTAGAGAGAGAGAGAGAGAGAGAGAGAGAGAGAGAGAGAGAGAGAGAGAGAGAAGAGAGAGATAGAGAGAGAGAGAGAGAGAGAGAGAGAGAGAGAGAGAGAGAGAGAGAGAGATAATACAAATTCCATCTAGACACCGTTGCCCTAGAGCACACAAAAAACGATACATACCTCGGCCTAAACATCAGCGCCACAGGTAACTTCCACAAAGCTGTGAACGATCTGAGAGACAAGGCAAGAAGGGCCTTCTGTGCCATCCTGTAGCTCAGCTGGTAGAGCATGGCGCTTGCAACGCCAAGGTTGTGGGTTCGTTTCCCACGGGGGGGCAGTATGAAAAATGTATGCACTCACTAACTGTAAGTAACTCTGGATAAGAGCGTCTGCTAAATGACTAAAAATGTAAATCAAAAGCAACATAAAATTCGACATACCAATTAGGATCTGGCTAAAAATACTTGAATCAGTTATAGAACCCATTGCCCTTTATGGTTGTGAGGTCTGGGGTCCGCTCACAAACCAAGAATTCACAAAATGGGACAAACACCAAATTGAGACTCTGCATGCAGAATTCTGCAAAACTATCCTCTGTGTACAACGAAAAACACAAAATAATGCATGCAGAGCAGAATTAGGCCAATACCCGCTAATGATCAAAATCCAGAAAAGAGCCGTTCAATTCTATAACCACTTAAAAGAAAGCGATTCCCAAACCTTCCATAACAAAGCCATCACCTACAGAGAGATGAACTTGGAGAAGAGTCCCCTAAGTAAGCTGGTCCTGGGGCTCTGTTCACAAACACAAACAGACCTCACAGAGCCCCAGGACAACAACAACAACACAACCAAATCATGAGAAAACAAAAAGAGAATTACTTGACACATTGGAAAGAATTAACAAAAAAACAGAGCAAACTAGAAC